ATTCAATAATTTATTACCAGAATATTATACACGCCAGAACCAAATTTATATCACAGTACAAGCATTAAACCCTTCCCGAATGAGTTACAGTTCTTACATATTCAGTTGTTTGATTTGGGCAGCAGAGAGGTCGACCCTCAGAAGAAGGACTTTCTCAACATCCCCAGGAGTGAGTGAACGAGCCATTATACTTCCACGACCAGCTTCAAAGAGCTCCTTCGCTTCCTCCACAGACTCTACGTTCAAGAGAGAAACGATCTGAAAGAATCTTCATCAAATGATGTTGCAATAGATCAATAACCTGAGTTAATCGAACAGTTTTCTCTCGCGCTGACCAGCCGGCTACTCCACTCAGATAAGCTGACAAGTGACGGAACTCTTTATCGAGTTGTAATCCTCCTAATCTATTGAAATTACATTTGAGAATCACGCGCTCCATCTGTCGAGCAATCTCTGTACATACTTCGAGCAGTAAATTCTAGAAAGAGTTTAATCATCGGAAAACTTCTGTTGAGAAACTCACTTGGTAGTTATCTTTATGCAAGAATGGCTCAAAGTAAGCCAGTTGCTTATCAATTGAAGCATTGAAATTCTCGACGAAAGGATCAACACCTTCATTCTCACTGAATTGAGCTTCGGTCAGAATATGAGGTAAGTCCATATACACCTCAGTGCTGAAATCAAGAAGTGATCAACACATAGAACATTATCAATATGAAACCTCGATTTTATTTTGGGTCGGAAGGCAGTCGCACTGAGAACCGAAACACCCGAAAGAGCCAAGTTGGCCATCTTTCTCTTGACTTCATCTAATTGAGACAAAGAATGCTCCAGTTTTCCAGCATCAACACTGTTTCTCTGTAGAAGAATGAAGTTTGAATCGAATTTGAGCCATGTTCACTCACTTCTTTCTTAGACCAATCCGCCTCGAAGCCACTTTTGAGCTGTAGAACCAATTCTGCAGAACGGTTGGAGTTATTGATGGCTATGATGAAAGCATCCCGTTGTGCCTCAGGACCGGCTTCAACAACCGTTTTTCCTAAAAATAATCATGATAACGAAATCATTCGGAAAGTATGTACCATGCTGGATGACGTTATAAGCTGTTTGTGCTGTTTGGAACGCTTCGGCAGCAAAACCTCCGGATGGGTAACCAGCCTATAAACAATCGATTGTCTACAGGAGAATTAATGAATAAAACAAACCTTGATGGTATCTTCCAAATACGCGAAGTAGGTTGTTTCCAGAAGTGCACAGCCGTTGTTCAAAGCCGCACAAACACAGTCGATAGAACCACTGGTCATAGCTCGTCTCACGCACTTCCTCACTATGAACATGACATCTTCAACAACCGAGCTGCAACTGTTGGATACGAAATGAAGGTGTTCTTATAACCAACCTGATGTAGCCTTCCTCACGAGCATCTATTTCAATTGCTTTTCTCACAGACTCTTCCATGTAGTACTGTTCCAGGAGAATATACTGCCCTAACAGTTCTTGGATCTTTGTTCCAACGAGACTTCTGTGCAACAGTTGATCCAATTTCGCCTGTCTTTCTTCTTTTCTGATGATGGCGTCTTGTTCCATCTTCCTTCTGGTGTTCTCATCAACATCCTGATCTTCTCCAACCATTACAAACTTGAAGGAAAGGAATAGGTTGAAGCTAATAGAAGAGAACTCACTTCATCTTCGGTGTTTCCTGGTTTCTCACCAAGACGACGTTTGACGAATCTCCAATACATTTCAACATGAGTGTTCATAAGGCATAACTCGGAAAGTAGAGCATCAAGTTCCAATGGATTGATTCTATCTGAAGCACACAGAATGTGAAACGATAAAGAGGTGTCCTCGTACCATTTTTCTTGTTGCCCTCTCGCAACAGCTTTCTAGCACTGCGAGCGAAGCGATCAATCTGCCGCTTCTTGTTGAAAGAGTTCAGGATACTCTCAATGATATGGTCGTTATCTCTTTGAAGCATGATGATGAAATCCAAGAGCTTGTCAGATCCATACGCATTCTCAATCAACGGTTGATTCACTTCCAGGAGCGAAGCAACATCTTAAGTTACATGTTAAACACACTTCAGAATTATACACTCACTTTCTAGGAATAAGAAGAGCGTATCCGCATAGAGAACACTCAAACGAGAGTCATCAGAACCTCCAGAGTTCATTATCTGACAAACACATTTATCAGAAGCTCAATAACTGCATCGTACCTTGATGTTTTCTTCTCCTTGTTTCCTAATCAAACCTCCAAAGTACATCGCGAAGCGGGACAGTCCACTTTCGTGTTCGTTTATGAGAGGAAATAGCTTCACGTACCTAGAAACGTACTCATTAGCATAATGTTCATTCCACGTGTCATTGACCACAAGATATGAAATCATTTCCAAATAAATTTTTGATGAGAACGGTTGCTCTTATTTCAAAACACAAACTCAATTTCACTGACCGTTGCATTTCAGCGATTTCGTGTCTTGCGATGGCATCATCAAGTCTTTTCTCGAGGATCTCCTTTAGACGTGTCCGAGCAGCGGATAGAACTTCATAACTATGTCGAATAGTCTGTCCAGCTTCTAAAAATGGAATGAATAAGCTTGATTCTCCTCGTCGTGTTTTACCTTTGTCTGAAGATTCTCCGAGTTGAAACACAGCTTTATCCAACGTCAAAAACCGATGAATAAGCTGTGCAGCTTGTTCGAAGTCTTCAGAACGAATAGCCTCTTCAACGCCTTCGCTGCATACTCCAAGATCTTTCATATCTCCGCATAGTTGCATGCATTCTACCACTCTCGTTTTGGCAACATCAAG